TTGAAGAGAATTTAGAGTTTTCATAAATGCATATGCATGTACTCTCCGTTTTCTGACTTCAATGGATCTCGTTCTGAAGAGCGAACAACGATTCACTGACTGACACATGTCATCCATCATAATGAAAGATGACTACTGAATGCAAAAAATAAAACAGTAATTGTGCTGAATAACATCCATTGTCCAATCCTTGAATTCGGCTTGTCTTCAGGGAATTTTTGGACAGAACAGATTAACCTCACTAATCAGTTCCTTGTTGGTCGATTGTTTTCTGGTTCATGATCGATGTTTATGTTCACCTTAGCGGCTATTAATCCTATACTCTTTCGTGATTCGCTTGTAATGCGATTTCGTACTTCTTATCGTGACATTGAAGAATAAGTATGGACAATTGACAGCGTCGTTGAGATGTATTGATTCAACATCATTTTCTTAATTTTTCTATCCACCTGTTTGAATCATTGATCTTTTGTTTTAGCCTGAACAGGAACGTTCGCCGTTGCGGTACGTAGCACTAGGCGATGGTTGGTTAGTCGCGAACACGGCTTGAAGTGTCGCCATTTTAGTTCGACAAGCGGTTCCGTATTTGGAAGCCGGTTCGGGAATATGGGAGCTACTCACTTGGCATCATCCGTTGTCGTCGTTACTTCTGTTATGGGTTTGTTGTGTTTTACTCTGCGTTTGTTGTTTTGTCTTGACGGCTACCCCGTTTCAGACGTATTTGTATTGCATATACAGCGGTTGTCTGATTTCGGTCATTTTGACATTGCTGTTGGTCCAAATGGTTTTCAACTACTTGGCCTACAGACACCAGATTTCGTTCGGCCTCAACTTCCTGCCGCGAAAATCATTCAAGCAGGTGTTGAGCTTGTGTCACATTTTACTCACGTCATCAGTGCTATCGACAATCATTGCTTTTTAGCTTGAAAACGAAACACCGGTCGGTATTCAGTTAGTTCTCGAGATCGCTAAGTTGGCGCATATTTGCCTTGGAATCTTGGCGGACATCTTGGAGAAAATTAAAAGGTAAATTTAGACGCCTCGGGTCCATGATGCTACACGGTCAGCCTCCACTGTGTAACGATTCATCTATTAGAAACTTCTCTCCGCGCAACCTGAAGGCATACATATGCCTCCATCAGTTCAACACCATCCGATTATATGGTCTGTTGTTTCTTTCAAGTGCTGGGACCGCGCATTTTGGAGATTCTTGCGACTGTCTAACGACCTTGATCATCTGCCATGTGGGTAAATTCCAAAAGACAGATGCTTAGTACATTAAAACTAGCGAATTTATCTGATATTTACGACTTCAAAATTGGTGGGGAATTTAAGCTGTAATGCTTTAAGACGAAGTGATTTTTTCGTTAAATGTATTTTTTACTGGTAGCTGTTGTTTCGTTTCAGTCTTTTTACATGGAAGCAACCGTACGTTTCCGCATGTTTTTGCTGTGTGGTGTTGTTTTGGCTGTGCCTCTCGTTGACGCTGTCGACCTCATGGTTCCTCACTCTCGTCGGTAAAAAACATTTTTTTGTCGTTGACCTCTAAATCAACGACTCATTCACTTGTTTAAGGTACGATCTTGGGAATTCGTATTTTTTTATGCGTTTACCTTTACTACCGATTCCCGCGTCTCATTCACCAAATTGATATCATAACTTGGTTTTTCGAC